ACAGCAGATGTGAAAGTCCTTTAACCCAGATACAGTGTTAAATAAGAATGTTTCATGGTATATCCTGAGAATAATCTACCAACATCTGTATCAGTCTGTGGGGTTCTAGAATGCAGCGTATGGCCAGCTTTGACAAAAAAAAAAAAAAGAAAGGTATTTTCGCCATAGATGTTTTCTAAAATGGAAAAGAACTACATACAGTTCTACATAAGAGGATCAAGAAAAGATGAGATTCTTAAATGTAATAAAAGGCAGCACCTTCTCCTGGATAACACGAGTCATCCTGTCAATGATGGAGATGTTATTATTGGAAATGACACTTACATTTATAGCATTTACAGGTATAATTTGGATGTTGAATGTTCCCCAAAGACCCGTGGGTCAGGGATAGTTTTAGTGGTATGTGGTAGAACTTTTAGGAAGTAGAGATTTGTAAGAAGTCCTCAAGTCACTGCGGGGTGTGCCCTCACCGGGATATGTAGGAGCGTAGCCCCTCTTTTCTTGTTTTTCTTCCTGGCCATCAGATGAGCAATTCTGCTCTGCCACACGTTCTCTGCCATTGCCATTTGGCACTTCTACCTGAGGTCTGAAATAAATAAGCCAAAATATGCGCTTCTGTTTATAAGTTAACTATTCCAGGTATTTCATTACAATGGAAAGCTGACTAACAGAGGAGGTTCTACTACATTACAAGGGTACCATCTTCTCCTAGATAATATGATGGAGATATTATTATAGGAAATGACACTTTCGTTTACCAAGGATAGCCACATTTCCATCCTCAAGGTAAACATGACCCCAGTTCTATTGACTGCCAATTATTCATCATTCATTGCAGAGATTAACTAAATGAAAGAAAAAAGGAAGGGAGGCAGAGAAGTAAAGATGAAAAGAAAGGAGGGAAAAAAGAAAACAAAGGTTTTTTTAAAAAATCATCAATGGGCTTTTAGTGACAAGAAACTTGCAGATGCTGTTAAATTCACATATATTTGAGACCCAGGAAACGATCAGACGTAATAAAACAAGAGTTGTGAGACCACAGCAGGCCTGGTCTCATGGGAAGGACCTAAAAATACAAGCCTCGCCTGGCTTCTTAGTTCGTGTCCTTCCCACTGTCCCTATGATCGGTAAACTAAGAAATTTCAATATTTCAGAATCAAACATTTTTTATTTTCAAATTTTCAACTCTCAGAAAAAATAGGTTGTACGTATGTGCATGTGCATCAGACATAAAGAAATTCATAATGTTCACTGATCTTTTCAGATTCAGATTCTGAGGATGTGACAACACTGCAGTATTTGATGAGACTCTTAGTTACAACAAGAACAGTGAGATGCCTCTACAGTCTGCAATCAGCTCTCCCCCTTCCCTTTTAAACACAGCTATGAGATGCTGTCACTTTTCATCAGTGCTCCATATGCTCACTAAAGGCAGCCAAAAGATAAGCACTCCTGACCTGCATGAAAAAGAGTAGAGTGCTACATCTGGTTGCTTCTGGCAGCTTTCTTTAGTGTTTTCACAGTTCTGGCAGGGTGGATCCAAAAATGGAGATGAAATCCAGGGTCTGGATCAGGGCAGCTCCCCAGGGTCCCTGTAGCACTCCTACTCTGCAGGGACAAGATTAAGGCTGCTGCTAAACACAACCTCCTAGGACTCATACAGAGGTCCATATTTTAGCAGGAAATTGAATTTTTCAGTTCTCATGGGCTATCGATCATTGTCATACTTACTTGTTAATCCATATACTCCCTTCCTTTAAAAGGCTCTCAGGACAAGAGTCCTTTGGAGGCTACTTTTGGATCTACTCTAATAACATGTGTCACTTACTGAACATTTGAGCTGTACTGGACACTTATGAAATACACATTTTCCATTTAATCTTTACACAATTTAAAAGCAGGTACCAATCCCATGTATAGATTAGAAAACTAATCTATGTTTAAAAAGGACAAATCATTTTTCTAGGGTCATACTGCTGGTAAGAGTCTTGGCATCTGTCCTTTTCAAAGTCTTGCTTTTAACCATACTGTGTCATGGGAGGAGGAGCAGCACCACTGGTCCACAGCAGTGCTGGTTTGCAGTCAGAAGCCTTCCATGGCTAGTGGTGTGATGCTAAGTGTTCGTGGAACCTCTCCAAGCCTTTCACTTCATCTTCCATGTGGAAATAATAATTTCTACCCTGTCTTTTTCCAAGAGTTGGAGACAGCATCAACACCTGTTGTTGAGTTCCAACAAGTTCATTTCTCTTGGTTAAACTTCTTTCTCCCTCTTTTCAATGTCAGAAATGAGATGCAAGGGAAGGGAAGCGATGCAGACAAAGGAGGTCTAAAACTAACATTATATTGCTTTCATATTTTTAGTTGTCTTTGTGTAACTGGGGAAACATGGATTCTAATGTTTGATGATGAATTTTATTAACATTAAAAACTATTAAGACATGAAATTAATCAAAGGAAATAGAAGACCATATAGTATGTACTCAGTAAATAACTAAACAGACGCCAGAACAAAGATAGGCAGGAAGTAAACAATACAGGAATTTCCTCTGGCTCTTGTTTAATAATTAGCCAGTACATATTTCATTTCCTATGCATGTGGCTAATTGGTTCTTTGAGTCTCTAGTAAATTAATTTGGCCAAAGTTACTTAATTTCATTCTCAATGAATCAAGAACTGAAAAACAGTAACAATACTTGTGACAAAACAATAAAATGGACTGACAAATAGTCTCAGCAAACCATGTTTTGTAGTTTGAACAGGCCTATGATTATCCACAACTGAAGCATTATACTAGGAAGGACACCCTATTTTCTTAAAACTCCGAATTGCCTGGCTGAAGAAACCCTACAGAAAGCTAACACATACAAGCATGCATCAACTCCCACAAAGCTGTTGGAAAATGATGATGCAAACAGTAATAAGCACACTGATCCCTACAGCCATCAGTTGACACAGCACTGACACAGAAGAGGATCCATAACAACCTGTGAGTGAAGACTTTGGGGGACTCATGGAAAAATCATGCAGAAATCAAGAAATAAAAATGAACTTATGATGGTTTGATTAGAAACTTTGTTTGAATAAAGAAAATAAAAGATAGTGACGGGGGTGTGCCCCCACTTAGTAAGCATTTGTATATATGTAAAAAAATGAAATATTCATCATTCCACTTGAAACATGCTTTGCTGAAGTTTGGCAACATGATCACAAAATCAGCCAATTGTCTCCACTCTGAACCACTTAAAAGAGCAAAAATGCCAACAATGGATTGGTTCCAAAAAAAATTTTTTAAACATGAAGGACATAGTGAATACCTGTAACTAAATCTGCCACTATCCAGACCGCCTTTCTGTTAAACACACTGTCTCATCATTCCTGTGTTTATTCTGTTGCAAAATACAAATATCAGGAACCCTGTGCGTCTTCCTCCAGTTCCCCTGGTCTATAGGGACAAGCGGCTGGCTGTGGATGGGTGCCACAGAAACAACAGCAGCACATGCAGACATGCTTCCTTGTCCCTCTGCACACCTGCTCACAACTGTTCCACCTCAGCCCACAGGTCCCCCAACAGACTCCAGCAGTTAATCTCAAAACTGCATGAAATTTAACCTAGGAGACATCTGGAAAATTCACACACAGAAATGAGGGAGAGAACTTTGAGAAAATCTAGGGGAGGTAGGTAACTTAAATCTGAGGTTTCCTTTCTTTTCTTTTCTAACTCAGTCTTGTTAAAAGTGTTCATCCTAGCAGTGTTCAGATACAAAATGTTGGTCCAAAAGAATCAGAGGACTTTGGGTGAAAAGTATTACATTGTAAAGGAATCCTTCCTTTCCAATTGAGACAGCATTTCCAGAGAAGTTAGGCACCGGGATCACAGTCTATCAGTATTAATATATTTACAAAAGTAAACAAGCATAAATGGTTTTAATTAGCCCTACCAAGCAGAAGCAGGTGGAGACTGAGGGCATGTCCCCCAAAATAACCAGGATATAGGAATCTCAATGAAGAGCTCTCTCTATACATTTTTTTCAAGTACGGAAGAAAAAAACTACTACAACTTTCTTCTAGCACAGGACATAGGGGGTTATATAAGAAGCCATTCCAATTACTGGAGTCAATCACAGCAACTGAAATTGATGCAGAGTATGGTTAAACGGCTTTACCCAATGGCTACTAATAAGACCTTTCATAAATTGGCAGGAAGATAGTTGCTATTGGCCAGTTTGATCCTTCCAAAAGACTCACATGCACTTTTTCTCTCCCAGATAAAGTCCCAAAGTATTGTTTCTGGAATCAGAAATTACCCCATAATTTCAGATTTTTCTAGGCTGAAGGGTCTCCTTTCACCTGTGCTAGAATTATTTATTTTGGGCCTCTTTTACCAAAACTTCAATGACAATGAAGAGTTTAGAAACCTCGTGGTAAATCAGAAATCGTTAAGAGAAAAGTAAGGAGACTAAAAAATTAAATTATCCAAGCAGGGCACACTACACAACCTACACTTTGAAACCTAAAATAGCCAAGTTGTCTCATTATTCTGAGAAGTTATATAGACCATTTAGCCAACAACGTTTAAGGTGTCCTACATCTTATCAGCAAGAAAACAAAAAACACTCAAGTCTGTTTATCCCTAATTTAGAAAACTACTGAAACCCTTCCTTCCTACAGGACTGGGCGGTGTGTAGGTTCTCAAACTCAGTGAAGACCGTACCTGGGCTTAAGTCATCAGCGACCCCTCCCGCCAGGTCCCACCCAAAGCTCAGCAGCAGCAAGGCCAAACACACCTTATAAACGTCCCACTTCCCTCCCCTCTACACCCAGGCCCAGGTCCCGGCAAGGCGTTATACCTCGGGACAAAAAATCAAATACCCTTAAAAAGTAGAAGAGAGGACTGGCGTTATATAACAATGTGCAACAGATAAGGTTTTGAGAAAACGAAAGTAGCCAGAGGAGGGGTGGGGAAGCAAAGAGAGCTTCGGAGAGCTGTCGTCGCCACTTACTCGAAGGCAAAGAAGAGTGCGCTAGTGACCAGGATGAGGATGAGCGTCAGGTAGAAGACGCCAGTCTGCCGGGCCATCATGATCCTCCCGTTGCAAAAGAACTTGTTTCTTCCCGGGAACACCTCCCATTTCCTCCGGGCCGCAATTTTCTTCTTCTTGTGGGGCGACTCCATCGGAGAGGAGCTGTGGGTGCTGATTTGACTGTACTCGCAGTCTTTCATGGGCCCGCCGCCGCCGGGAGGCATCCACGAGGGCAGCCGGCTGGGGGCGCACACCCCCAGAAGCCCCCCGGCCGTGCGGGCCCCACCGAGCCACGACCGCTCCCCGAGCCGCGGCGCCGCGGCCCCTACAAGGGCTCTCGGCTCGGCGACAACTTTCCCGAGGACACCCAGGTTAATCTCTTGAGGAACCCAACTGTCATAGCAGAATCCGCTTTGGAGAGGGACGTTGCTCGCTTGTACCCCGCGGCAGCGGTCCTCCGTCGCTTCTAGCCGGCGTCCTGGGGCTCCAGGACCCCGCGGGGCGCGGGTGACAGACCGGCCGACCCCCAGATGACTGTGCGCCCAGCCGCGCGCTCAGTCCAGCCGCCCCCGAAGCTCCAGACGCGCCTCCGCTCCGGCCCGAGAATCCTCGAGCTGCGCCCCGAGGGGACACGAGGCGGCGGCCCCGGCGCCGGCTTCCTCAGCAGCCACTTCTGCGCCTCGGCCAGGTTGATTCTCCTGCTTCCTCCTGGTGGCGGATCTTCCCAGGAGAGAGCTGCAAACTGTGCGGCAGCTCGCGGTACCGGCAACCCCTCCCAGGGGTGGGGACAATCACGCAATTATTCTGTCAAGAACAGCTCGGCGAGAGCCCGGCAGCTGCTCACGCCGCGACCCGCGTCGCCGCGCCTGGCAGCCGAGCCGAGTCCCTGGCCCCCGCGCGGGACTTCGAGCTGAGGGTGACAGTGGCGAGTAGCGGGCTACGTGGCAGGGGTCTCCTTCGCTTCCTCTTGTCTAAAGGAGCCAGTCCCGTCACGAGGAAGGGCCGCCGGAGGGCCGAGGGACACGGTCACAGACACTAGTTTGCAAGGCTTAGCCCCGGCGCGCGCGGCGTTCGGAGCGGTTCCGCCTCCTCGCAGCCGGGTGGGCGGCGGCACCCCGCGCTTCCACAGCCGCGCTCCTCCCCTTGCTCCTCCTCCCAGCCCGCTGAGCTCTGACACGCGCTCCGCAGGGTCCCCGCCCCAATCCCCTCCGGGCGGGAGCGGGTACCCAGCTCCAAGGAAGGCGCTGCGCTCCGGGTGGCATCGCCCAGGGGGCGATTGGGTCTCTCCAGCTTCGCCGTGCGCTCGCTCTCGCGGACTTCGGTCCACCTGCCGGCTTCTCCACCGGCATACTGTACATTCCTTCTCGGGACACGCACGTTCATTTTCACAGCCACTAGCAAACCCATTCTTGCGACTCCCGGGGACCCGATGAGACACAGCGTGGAGAAGTGACTCTCCCCGGCCTGCCCCCCCCCCCCCAGCGATGCCTCTTTCTCTCCAGCAGGGCGAGTGGTAGTCATCGCGGTACCCTGCTGATGCCCGGGGCTTGGCGGGTGCGAGGGTGTGGGGGGAAGAGTATCTAGTGACAGGACCGGGTGGGGAGGGTCGAGGCAGGCCTGTCTCCAGGACCGGAATGCAGGTGGGGGCCTTGGGCCCAGCTTCCAAGCAAGAGAGGGTGAAGGGAAGAGGGCGGAGTGGTCTGGGTTCCCTCTGGCCCCGGCCCGGGTCTCCTGGAGCAAAAAGCCGTTTGGTGTCTAGCTGTTGGGTAGCTGCCTCCGAGTCCCTTTCTTTCTCCATTTTTCGCCCAAGGGCGCTCACAATCTTCTCCTTTAATTTCTCCCTACCTAGGATACTCCTTGGCACCATAGGATTGCGCGCCTGTCCACTCTGCCCGCGCTTCCCTCTAGGTCTACGTGACAGCCCCGCGAACCCGCGACGCAGCACTTCCCCTCCTGAGCCCTAGGCGCCTGCACCAGGGCACAGCCCTCACTAAGGTAGACACAGCCAAGGTACACTCGAAAGCGAAGGCAGTTGGGCGGGGATGCTAGGTTTCCAGAGCCCGCTTTCCTTTCACGGCCCACTGGGATGTGTAGTTCTTGCTTGCTCAGGCCGGTTCTAAGACGAAACGCAGACTTGGAGATGTGAAAACTACAACTCCCTGCATACTCCGCGACGAGGGCGGGAAAGGCGTGGTGCTGGGCGTTGTACGGTGGTTGGAGATGAAAACCAACAAAGGGTATGGCGGGGGTAGAGAGCTTTGTGGTAGGCGCTGGGCACGAAACATTTGCACAGCCTTTCCAAGGCACGATCTTACCCTCCTCAGGGAAACTGCTTACCCTACTTCCCAGATTTCTGAGTACTTCCCTTACAGAGAGCAGTGTCAAAGAGAAATGAGATTGGCTGTCCAAAAGAAATGGAGCCACTGGGAAGTTTGCTGTAGTGCCCAGAAACTGGTGAGAATCTCGTTTAAAGTATAGCATGAAATTAAAGACGTTATGAATTGAAATGGAAAAAGAGTTCACCCCAAAGCAGGTTAAGGTCTTGGGAAGAATGGATATGATCTTAAACACAGAATTAATTTTAAGTTCTTCTAGATAGTGTACAGCAGACAAGCTAATGGGACAAACTTAGTGACTGCACCGTTATTAAAAATCCAACTGGCAAACTTATGACATTTCCAATGAAAGCAGCTCACTTTGTTTTTCCATCGTTTGGGAGAGGGGATCAACGAGATGTTACTCTGTTGCAAGTACCTTCTCTCTGGGTGAGTTCATACAATACATCCATTGTTTTGATGGCTTTAGACTCCCGTTCTTTGGGCCAGAGATAGAAGTTAAACAGTAAAGGAATTGCCTAGCATGCATGAGAATCTGAATTCAATCCCTACAACTGCCCCTAACAAGAAAAAATTTCTACTCTTGTCCTCCCACTGAACTTTTCAGATACCATGATTATGCTCTTTAAAAAAGTCCTTACGCATTAGAGATACAATAAAGGTACTTTAAAGTAAAATGACATTGTCTGGCCATCTACCTCCCAAAACACAAAGCTATAGAAGAAACAGTACTGGAAATCCTGAAAATACTTGGCATCAGATGATGTTGCTGTATCTAATCCTCTATTGCTGCAAATTACCATAAATATAGAGGCTTTGAAACAGCACAGATGTATCTCACAACTTTTGTGAATCAGGTGTGCTCACATGTTGTATCGTTTGTTTAGAGTCTCACACCTCCCACCATGGCATTGGCCAGACTATGTCCTCATCTGAAGAACTGGTTTCCATACTCATTTAGTGTTACGTTTAGATCTGAAATGGACCCAAAGCCTGCTATTTGAAAGGTGATTGTATTAAGGAGGCAACATAGCTGGCTTGCTATTAGGAGGCAGATTCTGGTCCAAGGAGACTGGTCAAAGGGGCCCTGGCCTAGAAGGGTTTATCTGCACAAAGTCTCACCTCTTCTCTGCTTCCCAATCACCATGAGGTGAGCAGGGTTTTTTCTGCCATACCTGTATGCCATGCCCTTCTGTCTTAGAGCCAGCCTTCTATAGATAGAAAGCTAATCCAAAATAAACCTCCCCTTCTTTAAGTTATGAGTGTCTAGTATTGTGCCTCAGCCATAAGGAAAATGACGGGCACTTAAATAACTGAGAGAATTCATTTTCTTCCAGTGTAAGTCTGAACTCCCAGTTTCTTCCTGACTCAACTGGACACTGTCCACAGCTCAAACAAGGCACCTACAGTTCCTAAAGGGCATCTGTTCATTACCACATAACCTTTCCCAGCATGGCCAGTGACTTCATGAAGCCAGGAAGAAGGTTGAGTTAGCAGAACAAACTCTGTTGTAGCATAATCACACAGGGACCTCATCAAATGTGCACATTTTATTGGCCAGATAGTTAATTGCAGTTTTCACACATGCTCACAGATATATTTGATTCATGGATAAGACTATCCACTCCAGTGGATAAGAGGGCCCATTATCCCATTTTTACCCATTGCACCTACTTATGCTTCTGTTTGAATTTTCCATAATAAAAATAAGTAAATTATTTTAAATTTTATGTGTTCAGGGCTGAAGCAGGAGCCTGAAGCAAGAGGATCACAAGTTAGAGCCCAGCCTCAGCAACTATTGAGACCCTTTCTCAAAAACTAATTTAAAAAGGATGAAATTATAGTTCAATGGGAAAGCCATGATTTAAATCCCCAATACACACACACACACACACACACACACACACACATACAGTTCAAGACTATCCTGAGCAACTTAGAAAGACAGCAAGATACTGTCTCAAAATAAAAAATTTTAAGAGGTGGGGGGGTCTAGCCCTATACTCCTAGGTTCAGTCCTCAGTACTGCCAAAAATTTAAATAAATTTTCCACGGAAAAAGAATTTGTGCATGTGATTTCTACACATTTTATGTTACAATTGTTCATACATATCTTCCTAAAGTTTACAAGTTTCTTCCCATTCCATGTACACTAAGGCTTGTGTCTCATGCAATCATAGATGGAGCTTTTTCAGAGGTTCTGCACACCCTGAACTGCTTCTCCTCTAAGATGCTTGTCTGCTATGTCTGCTATGTAACCCTGTCTTGGAGCCAGCCAGTTCTGGACCAAAACTTCTACAAATTGTAAGCTAAATAAACCTTTTCCCCTTTATTGGGGATGTCGGGTATTTTTGTCTCCTCAATGAGAGAAAAGTAACTAAGACAGACACTATTAATAACTAATTAATAATTGCCATACTGAGATCTATGGTAGTTGCTTATGTGGATGATTCAGACCTAACAAAGTTCACTAGAATCTAGAGTGATAATCATGGGTTTTAGCTCACCATCTTAAATGTTCTGTACGGTGGGCTTTTTCCATCCAGTCATCTCACCACTAAGTATTATTTCAGCAGCAAGGATATAAAAGAATCCAAGATAGAAGTTTCTACTGGGGGAGAGCATACAAAAGAAATGGAGAGTCAAACAATAATCAAATGACTAATAAGACAACTTCAGAGAGCAACTACACGGAAAGCACAAAGCCAAGTATGAAGATACAAAGATAGGTGGAATGAGAGACCTCTGCAGAGACAGTGGAACAGGGACCCAAATAAAGAGAAGCATCAAGTGCAAAGGCTGCCAAACAGAACAAGCTTGGGAAGTTCTTGAGGTACAAAGAAAACATCTGCTGGCGTAAGGCAAGGGAAAAGGACAGTGTCAAGAGGTAGGGAGAAGACAGTGAGACAGCTGGAACTGCTTTTGTGTGCTCTGAAAAATCAGTTACTCTGTAACCAATATTGGTTCAACTGTCCAGGGGTCAGAAATAAATAGTACATAGGTTCCAAACTTCCATGCTATAAAGACCTCAGGGAATCTAGATGATAGACCAAAGCATTTATGTTGCACATGAGGTAACTGAGGCCCAGAAACTTCCTTGAGCGTTGAAAAATAATCCCAAATGCATCTCGACTTGAAAGAGTGCATTCTCTGACTTAAAGCTGTAGAAAACTGATGATAAATAATGACTTAGTGCCATACTGTGCAAGGCAGAATGAAAGAGATTGAATGTAGTAGAGAAACTACAATCTAGCTTGGAAAACAAGATTGATACACCTGAGAAATTAAATAAAATAAGATTACAAAAATATCTTTTCTCAAGTATCTTCTTTTATTAGGCAATATTCTGCTTCTTGTACATTTATCTCAGAGAATCTGAATCTACCCATTGATTTAGAGGATCACCTGATGAGGCAGAAATTGTCTTTAAGTCACATAGGATGAAGTGAAGATCAGGAAAGTTAGATTTGTGTAATGCTCCACAGTAATCAATAGAGTTGGGATCTTAGATCTCAACATCAGATTCCAGCTTCTTTATTCTAAGTCACTTCACAACAAAAAGTACATTCATGTCTGATTAACTGCCAACTGAGAATAGAGAATTTGATTTCAGAAAAGATAACACTCAGGGCCAGCTGTAACAAATTGTGTCTGATTGTGACGTTTGGACAGGCAGAAAACAAGGTGGTTAGAATCTCAGGGAAACGGTGGTAGGTATAGAAAATAAACAAATTG